GGTTTTTAAGAGTTTTTATCAAATGTTTTATAATATAGTATAGATTATAATTTAGATTTTTTATATTTTAAATATAATGTTTATCAGCAGCTAGTTACACGAATTCAAACATGAAACTTTAATAAGTTGTACTTACGCACAGTTTATTTGTAATATTGAATTTCAAGTAATATGCATTAATAAACAATACTTCACGTATAAACAATGTTTTTTAATGGTTTTTGTTAAATGATCTATAATATAATATAGATAAAACATTTAAACAAAATTTTAAAAACAACTTACAAAACAACAGGTACAACTTAGTAATGTATAATGTCTAAGATTTCGAGTTTACGGATAATTCATATATTCATATATATAATGCAGCGAGTAGGTGCTCCACTGATTCGGTATGATCTTTAAAAGCCAGGTAAATAATTGAATACAGACCAATACCGTTGTTATTAAGCACCCGAAGCATTGGAATTTGGTTTTGAAGCTCCCTCCAAATAAAGATGTTTTTTTTCCTCGGAGCCAACTTGTTCGAGATTGCTGGAGTGTCCGAGTTAGAGGATTGAATTAGTCTGCTATCTACCCAATATTTAAGAAGAGAAAACTTGAAAACTACATCATCGTTCAAGAACCAATGAACCGAGTGCGTACCAAATAAATTAGGAGAAATATTTTACAGCCACAAATTAACAGTATCAACGTCATTCGATACTTCCCATCTGACTTCCAGACCAACCCCATTTCCACTCTCTCTCTTTCCCTCGGTCCAAACCGATATATACGTGAAAAGGACGAAGAAATCCATCACAAGATATGAAATTTCGACCCATTCATCCAACAAAAAACGAGTCCTTCCCATCCCTAAAAATGATCGCGTATAAATTACAATAGGGCAGGTTCCATAAGAAACCTAAAACCGATTAAGAACTAAGAAACCACTCAAACTGCGACACGAGACATATTCATCAAGAATATGAACGTATTATTCATCATGAATATATAATCCACGATCAAYAATAACTCCATATTCATCATGAATATATTATTCACAACGAATATTCACCATAAAGATAAATACCTGACACGTTATACAATGTACACAGTTTTTAAATCTTTAATGATTTTTGGGTACCTAACGGAACTTTTCGAAAATTACAACAACATTATATTTAAATAATGATTTTTAATTAAAATAAATAAWTAATTTAATATAAATAATCATTTCATAAAACCGTGTGAAGACTGAAGACCACTCTACTTGATACATAATTAAATACCACTTTGCCTTTGACACTATTTGTCCGTACAGAAAACATAGATTCATTGCATTGTATACAATCCATTTTACAGATCATACATACACTGTCATATACAATTGTTTAAAGCCAATTATTATTATTCCTATACCCTTTTATACAGGAGGGCATTTTAGTCATTTCAGACCCCTCCAAAACACATGCATAACCATATTGTACGGTACAACATGTATCAACCATAGATTTGGCCAAAAAAAACCAAACCTCTCAAAAAAAATAATTTAATTTTGTGCAAATTGGTTATGGAATAATTTTTTCTCTATCGGCTCAGCGAGCCGCGGCTGCCATCGCTGTTCTCCTTTCAACTTCTCTGACTGTCCTGCTGCCGCCGTCAGACGGGCCGGTGGTGGTGGTGTTGGTGGTGGTGGTGAAAATTCTGGAATGGTCTAAGTTGTGGATGAATTGAGAGACGATGGCTGATCCAGGTCCGGCTACCAGCTCCGACCAAGCTTCATCGGCTTCTTTGCCGTTTTGTTGGAAGACTTTGGTGGCGTCAAGCCGATGGATTTTCCAGCCTTTAGTGTTTCTTAGCCGATGGATTTTTCTTAATTGTTGGCATGCGAGTTTGCATGTGTTGATCTTTGTTTCATTAATGGCGGATTCTAATAATTTGGCGCGAGTTTTTTCGTCGGCGTTAGAAGCCGAGTATTCCCACCGGAAAAACGAGTCAAATTCCGGCACGCCGATGGCTCGTCGAATTCCTTTTGAGTAATCGGAATTTGGGTTATATTTCTTTCTAACTTCATTCACCATTCCGGCGGCCACCATCCGGTTGACCCGATCGGAAACGAACCGGTGGAGCACCGGCATTGCGACGTCAACCCACAAGAAACAAACGTCGTATCTCGACCGGAACTCATAATTCCGATCATCAACCAATGCTTCAATGAACGAATTCGATCCTCCGGCGATAATCGGGAGTTTCCCTTTTCCGACGATGGATTTCACGGCGAGTGATGAGGTGCTGGCGAAGTCTGAGGATGTGAAATCGGCGTCGGGATCCACGATTCCGATGAGGTGGTGAGGGACGCCATCGCATTCTTCTTCGGTTATTTTGTTGGTGACGATATCTAGACCTTCGTAGACTTGCATTTTATCTGAGTTTATAATCTCGGCGGGATGGTGGGTGGCGAGGTCGATAGAGAGCCGTGATTTTCCGGTGCCGGTGGCGCCCATGACGACGACGACTTTTTCTTTCAGTGGGCGGCGGCGGAGCAAGGATAAGTGGATGGGTATTTGCAATGAAGATGGCTGATGTTGTTTGCAGATCATCATCGTCATATATATACAGAAATCAGCCGGAGAAGAATATGTATATATATGTATGTATATGTATATATGAGAGCATAGAGTGAAGTATGGTTTATTTATAGTGGGGAGACGTGAGATGGGAACTTAAAAAGTTGCAAGTGAAGGTTCCTTGATGTGCATGTGTTATTTATTTAATCAAATTGATTTTTGTTTTAGGTTGTTTTAAAATTTTAGATGTATATAGACTGGGTTTCTTATGAAAACGGTACTTATTTAAGATAATGGTTGAATAATATATGGTTTCACACTAACATCACGTATAAAATAATATTTTGATTATTAATGTATGTCACATGTGATTTTGTACATGATTTAGTCGTTTTCGTGTTTTATTAAATGGTTGGCATTCTCGTTTAATCTTCCCTACACACACACACACATATATATAGGGACCTAATCAAATGAGAAACTCTTAGTCTCACATGATCTCAATTATATATATATATACTAGAAGCGTACTCGCACAATGCAGCGAGATGCATCATGATTTTAATATTTCATTTTCTTCTTTATTTCAGCCGATATTATAATATGGCTTTATGTGATTTTGAGAAAGTGATAATGTTTTTATTTTTGAATAAAATATATGTTTGAAGATATCATAAAAATTTGACAAAAATATATCGATATTAGTATCAAATTAACTATTTGAAATTCCT